TCTCAGTACTCTGTCAGGCAACAGCACGACAGCCAACAGCACGATAGCCAACGATTGGAGATATGTGGGTTCGTTGACTACTGGGCGAGGATTTGTTCTGCAATAGGTCAGGTCACATCGTTGGCTTCAACAACTTAAGTCTATTCCACATGTTTGACTAGATCTCCCACCGTGATTCGGCGAACGACGATGCTGTCGACCATCCTGGCCGCCAGCCATTCCAGCTTAGAGCTTTCATCTTTTAACAGTTCTCTGGACGTCTGCTCGACCAGTCGTAGCCATTGGGTCATCGATTCAAGAGCGCTTTTCGCCGCCGCATCAGTCTTCCTCACATCGGCGATGATCCAGTGCAGTCGAGGCTGCCGCATTTCAGGGTAGGGTATTTTCTTTAGCACGAACAGCATCACTACTCCCAGAGCAAAGACGTCGCCTGCTGCTCCACGTTGGCCGGTGATGGCGTACTCTGGTGGTATGTACCATGGTGAACCTCCCGTCTGTATCCCAGCATCAGAGATTTCTGACGACAAGCCAAAATCTATCAGAACGGCCCCTCGTGTTTGAGAGAACAGAATATTGGCTGGCTTAATGTCGTTGTGCACAATGCCCTCGCTGTGAATGTAGCGAAGGGCAGCCGATGTATCGGCCAGAATCTGACGGGCTTCGGCAACGCTCAGAGTGCAGAAGCAGTTGGATATACCTTCGGATTCGTCTCGGTAGGACGCCAGAGACGGTGCGTTCACATCTTCCATGTAGAGCGACAAAAACCTGCTGTCGGACCTGAGAAGACGAACAATCGATGCCTATTCAAGTTGTCAGTATGTTTCAGGTCACATTAAGCACGTTCCAAAGGCCATGAATGTAGAGGGGATGACCTACGTGCTGCCTGAGCCTGGAGTGGTTCTTGGATTCTTTCAGCCATGATTCTGCGGCATTGATTGTTTTAACAGCGGATTTGTGAGCAGTATCTGAAGAGGCTGGCAAAGATGTCCGGATAAGTTTGACAACAATTGGGTCGGATATACTTGAATGTCGGGCTCTAAAGACACACGAGTTTCTCGAGATCATCAGGTTTCCACCTCTTGTCAAAGTGTAACTTTTGCCATTTGGATGGATGATGTTTGCAGTGTCCCCAAGGGTCAACTGTTCCAGCGGATGGCATACACCCGAAGTAACGTGCCTAGCCTGGCCGTCCAACGGTTGGGCCAATGCCGAATGCTTGCCCAGGACCAGTGGATTTAGCGAACCTGCTCGAGGAATGAAGTCCCTCCTGTTCGTATCATCTGCCGTCTCGTGAGGCGTGTTCGCCGGGACCGTGGGTTGAGATGAGTCGAGCGACCTCTTGCGATGTTGAGACGAATCCCGCATCTGGGAGTCTCGATAATTTCCGCTTTTAATTGAGACGTACTGACGTGGGAGGACTGAGAGGTTGAAAATGTGAAGTCCTGAAGATGTGTAGAGCGTCCAAGAACCGGTCTTCAAAGCGGTAAGAGCTCTGACACCGATTTGTGTTGAATGCACAGGTTCGAGACATCCTCGACCTGAACTTGCTTCGCCATTGACCCGTTTCGCAATAATCGGGAAGTTGCCGAGGTTGAGAATGACGACGTCATCACTGTGAGGATTAAAATAGAGATAGCAGTTTAGTATGCCCGTCTTAGACTTATTTCCCTCAGTAGGTGGGGTAGCTCGGATTGCAATGCCAATATCGTTTTCCGATTGCGAGACAGGAAGCGTAAGAGCCGGCTGGCCCCCTTCACTAGCGGCGGCATCCAGAACAATACAGCGCGGTTGCTGCGTTTCGGAGATCCCAAGCGGCGTGACTTCGACAGGTAAGGTTTCGCCCCGTGAGGATGCGCCCAAGATGATCCGGATGGTTGCTGGAGCGTTGTCGAGTTTCGCCCCAAGCGCTTCGACGTCACTGGAGGCGTCGTGGCTGGGGGCATGCGGTTGGCGAAGTGGTCGGATCCTTCCTAATGCTTCACTAAATTCACTTGCTGTGAACGAGTTGGTATCACCGGAGGCATCGTGATATGGACAAGGCGGCTCGTGTAGCGGTCGAATCCTCCTCAAGGCATGCTGGAATTCGCTGGCCGTAAACCGGTTGGTGTCTCCGGAGAGAAGTTCGTCAGAGCTTTGATTTTGCATGGCGCTAGGTGCGAACAGGTGATCACACTGAGGTAATTTATCAACTTCGTCGTTACTGTTCTTCAATTTTCAAACGTACCCGCCGTCTTCTTGTATTGCTGTCAATGGCGACGTCCGCTGAGGACATCTCTAAGGGAGCGCTAAAATACTAGCAGTCGCGCATTCGTTTCCATTTATCCCTTGATCAACGGAATTGATTGGACGAGCGATCACAGGTCTTGGTGATGAGGCCATGCTATCTTCGCCCACACCTGAACTGATCCTGCCCAGATGCTCCACCATTGCTACGTACCGTACCATGGCCGGAGCAATCCAGGATGAATGTCTGAAGTGCCGGCCGACGGCGGAACGCTCCTCCTGTGGCGGTGGTTTCCAAGAGGGCGTGGGCTGTTGTGCACCGGATCGCTCCTCTGAAGTCAGAGATCTTGATCCTTTGAGAAGATAATATCAGCCTTAGCTGGCGGTAGCGGACCAAAAAGCTTTCTCTCCGGGAATGAGGAAACATGAACCTAAGCTAGGGGCAGGACAAATCTGCCCAGAAGGAACTTGATGTCTAGATGCAGGATAAAACGCAACAGAACCCGGGTTCCGCGTCGCAGACCCAGTCGAAAGTGGTGCTGTGGTGTTTACGGGAAGGCGGGCCATGATGCGATTACATTGCAAATTATTGTCCTGTCGTCTGAAGAAGGCGACAAGGAGTGGTCTGAATTGATTGGAGGCGCTTGAGGGATGCACTTCTGACATATGCCTGGAATGGACTGATTGCGTATACGCTTTAGGGGCGATCTGGGTGATGCAATTTGGGGGAGGACTTCTGAGGCAGGTCTGTGTCAAGGCTGGTGTATCGTCTTCAGTAACTGGCGCGGTGGTGGCGGCAAGTTACTGCGCTAACCAGTTATCAAACCCCAGAGGCGCTAAACCCCCATGATCTGTTATCAGATTGCCATTGCATTGTGGAAGGGCACATTAACCGGCGCCTAACTACTGTCAACCCCCTGACGTCGGACCGGCCTACGAGGAACGGTCCCCGAACCTGATCTTCCTTGCTGGTAACAGTCTCTGAAGCGCCCGGCTATGGAAGTGCTTCAATTGACCTCGTTGTAATTCTCCCAAAGGCATGCCTGAACATTGACAACCCTGGCCAGCGCCCGCCAAGACGGCACCGAGAGCTTTTTTTTGACAGTAACGTGGACAACGAGGGTATGGGGCTGCAGGCGCTCTCAGGATCGTTCCTAGCAGATCGGTTGAAACTGGGACCACTGGACAATAATACGACGGCTCATAGATGATGACGGGCAGGAACAAATATGGGGCTTCTGATGATAGACACGCGAGACGTGTTCTTGGCGGGCGCTTATCAAGGCGCTTGCTTAAGCTAACGCTTTTGCGCTGCAAGACCAAGTCTGTTGACTAGTCTCCGGCGCCTGGTAACCGCCCCGCAAGACGTTTCGCGGAACCGTAACCACGTCCGGGATGTTCAGTAGCTTTCCGCGGAAGCTCCATGATACGATCGAGGTATTCGTTAGAAAGGTTGATGGACTGGGTGCGTTAGCCGGGATGCCGCGCTTGCGCATTCGATGGGTTTTCGTGAGGGGTGGAGGTGGGAGGGGCGCCGCGAAGACTTCCCCGATGCCTGGAATAATTTTGTCGTTGGGAATGCAGTCGTCCAAGACTCCATCAACAATCAAATAACCAACCCCCATCCCAGGCGTGACGGATTGCTGTAGAAGGTCACCGCTTATGTCTACAGACGCACTCGCTGAAGCATTGTTGTTCCACAGCTTCACGCTTGAAGCGCATGGCCCAGGAGAACAAGGGTCAACGTCGTTGACGAAGACCATACGAAAAATTGACATTGCTAGCTTTGATAACTAGTGAGCCGGCAGATCAATTGAGCTTAAAAGAGATCTCAGCGGTCTGCTTGTAATAACGGTTAAGTATCAAGACCCTCCTGCCGCACAGGATACATCGGGGTCGTGAACCGACCGATAGCTGAAGTTCTCGATGACCCCTTACAGTAATAGATCAGACAAGACCTTTCAAGTCCGTCTTTGCATGTCGTCCTGATTCCTATCACGCATAGCGTACACTTCGGGAGTCGCATCGCGTCCTCCATGGCATCTTGCTGTCTCAATGAGTGTCGTCCTATCAACTTCAGCAGCCCTGATATTTCCTCTGCCGGCGGGATTGAGCCCGCCAACTCTAGATATCTCACAGATGTTTGCTATATCCGTAATTAGGGTACTGGCCAACGTCTACATCAAACCCGTTGTATGCGTACGTTGCTGCCGGCCCAGAGCCTACTCCGATGAATCCGCCGCCCAAACTTTCATGTGTACTACTTGGAGCAATCAAATTACCGCCTCCCACCCGATTCGCGAGCTCTGTGAGCTCTCTCAAGAGAACGCTGGCGGCAATCACTTTAAAACTCTCCAACTGCGTCTCGCTTCCAAGATCGCCGCTGTTGGCCTTTTGCGTCATCCCTACGACCAGACAAGAGTACGACAATTCCAAAGCCTCTCTGTTCGGTGCCAAAGCACGGGCGACTGGGTCATCTTCGAGAAGCGGTCTCTGGCTGCTGCTGCTGCTGACGAAAACTTCTTCTTGTTCTGTATTCTGGGATTTGCGTCGCATCTGGATTACGAGCCACTCGGATAAACGATCGAAATCCGCCTTGAGCTTCTTCGAGTTGTCTTTTTGCCACCTTGTCTGAGCGCCAGACTTGTTGAAGATTGAGCCACAGAAAACTTCGATCTCAGACAGTCGATTTACGTGGTTGTCTGAGTACGTGCTCTGGGCCTGTGCGACGGCATCCTCGTACCTGGCGTTTCGTTAGCAAGCAGACATCGAATGGGTTACGGTGAATCCAACACGTCGCGAAGCCTTCGGGCCTCGACTTGTCTTTTCTTCCATGTCACTCTGCCACTGCTATAGTCGTATATCTTTCTGTGCATGAGCCCCGCAAACTGCTCCCACACCGAAGGACCTGTTCTGTCAACGATACGCCGGATGTCCTCATTCCAGATCTGCCTCTCGTCCACATTCCGGTAGAGGACACCCAAAATCTTTTCAGATTTGTAGTACTGGTGTGCTGGTAGAGCTTCCTCCTCGTCTTCATCCGTGGGGTTCTCGGGAGCCAGGAATTCGATCTCGCTTCGGTTGAAGATGCGCGCAGGCGGAGCAGGCGCCAGACTAGGGTCTAATCAATGGTAGTCGCACTCGTTAGGTGGTACTACTCACAAGTCTGGGCGGAATCTCGGAGCCTTGGGTATCTCTCGCGGGTCAACCGGGATACCAGTTTTGGAAAAGTCGACGGCCGTCGAGTGCAGCCCAGCAAGTGTGAGGCAAGCATCACTGAGTGTGCCGTCAGGGTTCTGATCTGACAAAACAAGATGCCTCGTCGCGATCAGTCCGAGACAGTCCGACTGCATGAAGTCGACAAACCAGTTGGCCATGTCTTCCCTCTGGACCGCTCTGCCGAGGGCCGCCGGCGTCACGCGGGGGTAGTCAGCAGCATTGTAGGTAACACCTGGCATGGCGTCTCTGTCCCAGATAACGTTATAGAGGTCACCATCGAGATCACCACCGCTTAACTGGCTGGGCAGGTCGCGCTTTCCAGACTGACTGAAGGCTATGCAGTTGCGCAAGTCTCGCAGCGGGTGGCCCGGAGGGGGTGTTCTGGATCTAGCTAGTTGGATGTCCCCGGGATGCAAGGCGGGCGACCGCGTTACCAGCACGGGGCCGTCTCTGAGTGATCCATCGACGGAGGTCCTTCCGGGGCGTCGGTACGTATCATACGCGACGTACACCTCTCCCTCTCTCAAGAAGCCAGTCTCGTCCATCACACCGAAGACCGTGACGCCATTCGGGACCGGGATTCTAGCTTTATGTTTCAGCAATCGCAGTTCTTGAAGAACAACATTCTGCACTACTGCCCGCAGAAAGCTGTCGCCCCTGTAGTCGATACCGTATCGATCTAGGCTCTTGATAAATGTTGGCAGGAAGAAGTTGAGCCCTATGCCTTGCACATGCAAGAAGGTCCCGGTGTTGTATGCGTCCGCGGTAACAGCTCGGAGCCGGTCAAGTTCCGCCTTCTGCAACCGGAGGAAGAATTCATTGCGGACGCCCAGGTCTTCCATGATCTTGATCATTTGACGATTGAGCACCATTTTTAGCGGCTTCGACGCGCCATCACAAATCTCGAGGTTCTCGGTGTCTCGGCTCGGAAACTTTTCCATGGACTCTCGTCGGATGCATATGACGCGACCAGGAAGTCTCGAATCAAGTGACAGCATCCCTTTCACGCCGCCCCATCGGATCTGTAGACAGGTGGGAATGAGGGACCCTCGCGGCAAACGAGGCCAGATCAGTTCAAGAGCCTTTTTGGAAATGGTCCCCACCCCGTCGCTAAAGACACGCTCGTCGCCTCCGAGGCAAGATTTGATGTCAGGGATGTCCCGAACGTGTATGTCACAGTCATTGAGTGAGATGAACGCTGGCGTCTCAGAAAATGCCTGCCCGATCCGGGCGGCGCACTTGGCTGGAACTTGGATGTGCTCAAAATCGCCGAGGGCTTTGATGATGTTGTGGTACAACTGCATATCGCCGTTGCCATCGACGAACGGGGCCATAAACCAGGCTGCATGAGACCGTAGGGAAGAGTGGGAGAAGCCGAGGAACTGGTATATGCGTCCGGCGACCTGGATACCCCTGTTAAGCACGGCTTTGTAACGCTGGAAGACCTCCTGGTAGTCAATCTTGGGGTTGAACCAGAGGTCGGTGCCATCCTCGTCACAGAACTGTACTCTCATAAAATAATCTGTATGTTTTTGATGCTTGCGAAGGATGCGGTTCAGCGGTTCAATCTCGGGCCCATGAAGGGTGACCCTGAATGGCGTCACCATGGCTTTGAAGACCCACGTTTGGTGATGGGACACATCCGCACCGTATAGAGTAGTTCTGTAGTCATCCTCAGCTCGCATACGTTCTTCCATTTCAAGTAGATATTTCAGAATCTCATCCGGATACAAGACGTGTGGAGGGGTGTCGTGAGTCGGGAAAGGTAGACAATCCCGAGACCCATCGCGGAGATTCTGGAATGTCTGCTCAGATATGGGTTCTGGGCGCCTCGCTTTTCTTGCTTCTCTGAAGAGCATCTCGATTTTGAGCAGCAAGTCGTAAGCCACGCGGGGATGTAGAAAATTGTTCCATACTAGGGACTGCATGAAAAACAGAACGCGGAACGGCAGGACCGTTTCTGTTCCCAAACGCGTTAAGCATTTGTAGAAGATCTCCCACGAGCTTCGGTGGTCAACCGTCCCAGGCGCTGGGCTTCCGTCGTAAGCCATATGGAAGTGAGCGATGTTCAACAGCCCGCGGTTCCGCAGCGCCATCATCTTGTCGTCCAAGTTCGCATCCATGGCACTAAATTGATACACCAGACATTCGCCGGCGCAGTTGAAGTTCGGGGGAGCGCCCGGAAGGTTGGTGCAGCGTATGGATTTCTTTTGATGGAAATTCGGTTTCACGAGCGTCAGTCGGGACAGCCGCTCGTCGAGTCCGATACCCGGGCGGTAGAACTTGGGTGGTTCAGAAAGTACCAGGGTGATCGTGCCAGGAGAGGAGTGAATCAGCTCGTAAACAGAAGAGTAAGCCATCTCGGCCTTGACGCCGCTTCTGAACTTCAAGATGATCATTTTCTTGCCGAACCTGGCAGTGGCCTCGCCACCGAGGCGGTACTGTTCGACAAATGTCAAGGCTTTGCGGTCATTTCGAAAGGAGTTGTGACCGCATGCAACATGCTTGGCGTCGAACGTAACGGTTCCCTTAGAAAAGGGCTCCTCATGTCGGTTCTGTGCCCTAGGCTTTTCTTGGAGACGGTGGAGGAGGCATTTGAGATGGAAGGGATCCGGAGCTTTGTGGCTTTCTCGGGCAAAGACGGGAGCTCCCAGAATTTGAAGTTTAGCTCTTGTATTTGGACGTTGTGTCTTTTTGGAAGAAGGAATTTGGCCGTCTACATGACCGTTAGTCGTCTGATCCGGGAGTGGCTGCTCGCCATGGCGTCGCAGAAAGGCTGCGCCGCCTTCCCGGTGTAAAAATGTGATCCAGCCAACTTTACCACCCGGCTTGACAGAGCACGACCATGTATTGATGCCAAGTGCAGTCACATAAGGCTCGAGCTGCTTCTCCAGAGTCCGATCCGTCAGCTGCTGAGGAATGTTATTCAAGAAAACCTCCATGATGATAGACGCGCGACGATTTTCAATCCCGTTTCGGCGAGAGCAAGGAAGCGGAGACTGAGTACCGATGCAGGCGGCCGTGATGATCGTCGGGAAATCTGCTCAAGAATTGCAGGCAATACACTGGATTCCACGCCGTCGCTTATGGCGATGGCCAAACTTGCGAAGACCGGGCGATACGAAGGAGACGCAGTTGAATCGGCAGCGGGGCTTGGACTGGTCGTTGATGAGTCGAGAGATACCTTCAGGCGAGGCGGCCCGGAAACGAGACGGCTGCCGTGCGGACGGCACGCAAACCTTTTTCCGGAGGGAAATAGGACCAAAGGACAAGAGAAGCTCACAGCACGCGTTACTCTTGCGTGAGGGATGGTCGCGACACGTCGATACTCTCCGTTATGGCGAGGGCCTGACGCAGCACAAAAAGCCTGCGCGAAGGCCGCCGGAACCCACTGGAGCCAAATCTCTCTCCCTACCCCGCGACCTGGCCCCACCTTCCCCAACACAGATCAGCGATTGGAGGTCACACTAAGCGCCCAGGAAGCCGTCCATCAAGGCCAGTCGCCGTTGGTGACGGACCGAAAGTGAACTCGGTGGTCCACGAGGTCGACGCCCTTGCGGGACGCTCTTTGCGCGACATGCGAGGCATGAGACAAGGAAAAGACAACTGGGACTCGGATGAGCGATACAGGATTGCGGGACCAAGACCTTGACACGTGTTTCGGCGTTTAGGTTGCTCTACGGTTTCCTACTTAAATTGCCCGAGTCGCGAGATCAAAATAAAGCCCTGCATGCGACCATGTTTGTGGTCTCCCATTGCAAGATATTTGAGTACACCAAACGCAGCATGGTGCGCGAGGCATTTGAGGGGAGATTGCCAGTATCTTGCAAACATAGTGTGAGGATTGAGAAATGCGGTCGCAATCCGTGGGGAGAGGTGGGGGCAGGCGCGGGGGAGGTTCCTGGGCCATCATGGCTGTTGAGGCCAGCCGTCCCATCCGCGTCTGCTACGTGATGCGACAGGTATATAGCGCAGGCTGATTAAATGGCAGAAAGAACCCTGACACGCTACCCCGAGTTAAATATTTAACATTAGCTGGCAACGCTCGGGTTGTTCTAACACAGCCACAGGGGTTACTTCGTCGATTTCATGGGCGTATCCCAAAGTAGAAACGTATCAGAACCTGGAACTGTACCGCTGAGCCATGTGTATAAAAGAGAGAACACCTCATTTGTATGAGGCTATCCTGGGTACTCATGTAGTTCCGTCAAAACGTTTGTCTTTGGCCATGCCGAATCATAGAGTCACCATCAAACCTTGCGCTCGCATACATCACCAGGAGCTGCTCAGGATCAGCCAACGCCCCGGCTGATCAGCAGACACTTGGTGGAGCTGGCCGACGTAGGACACTAGCAAACCTCCGATACATGGCTCATCTCAGGGGATCAGCAATCACAGCTGAGGGATCTGGCTTTCAGGTCTTCATCAAGGACTAATGATTCAGTCTGGCACCCGATGTGATTGTAGAATAGTTATCAGGCTCCATGGAATCGCTCTATCGCACTGAATTTTCCGAGAATTACTCAGATGTAAGTACTGACGTACCAGCTGACGTCCGGTCAAACACATGTGAAAGCCGTTGTGTCTCACAGGGGCTCACCATGAGTCGTGTCACCCTCGTGATAGGATGTTGAAAGGATAGGATTCTGATGCGGCGGATATGGAGGTCTGCGGAGTCTGGTTGTTAATCATGTTGATACTGTCAACCTCACAAGCCCATGTGGTTCCGAGCACTATAATAATAACTTGAGAGCCACCACCAGGGTGTCATAAAGATCCACTGAGCTTCAGATTTGGTATACAGGTAGAAAGACGTGAATCAAGAACCATGAGGAGAGTTGTTAAGAGGATAGGAGCGCGGGTGAGTCCACAATTGTTCAAAATAGGATCAGACTCACTCACTGCTTTCGCGGGTGTCCCGTTGAATACTAGATTGATTATGAATGAACAGCTTTTGGGAAGATGATCCAATTATAGCCTAATTCAATGTATCAATTATTTAGGTGTCGTGGCGATTTGGTAAACTCCGCCCTACCCAATACCTTTGATTGTACACGAGAGTCGCCGTGTAAGTCGACCTCACTTTTGTCCCGCTTCCCAAATTCCAGTTATTGAGACAATCTGTCTCCTGGGTTTCCATTCTTGCAATTTCCCCTCTTGAATCTCGTCGTCGCTTACTCTTCAACCGTTTCATTCTGTTTCCTTTGCCGCCGCTGGAGGCATACCGGTGTACGTTGGTGCTTCTGGGTCTCACGAAATCCTCCATGACAGACTCAACAGTCTTCGTGGGGGATGACCGAGGCACAGAAAGGAGCAGGAAAGCCGA